GCTTTCCCTCTGAGTGGAGATGGCATGAGGAAATGGAATCTTGTAATGATTGGACAGGTCATTAGTCTCATGCTTGGTACAGATGTCCTCTAGGTGGTCACTAAAACTAAACAAAGTTGGCATATTTTCTCTGCTCATAATATGCCCCATTCCCAATTTTATTGTTCTTGCTAGTAATTTCTTTTGGGGGCAAAAGGAAGGTTTTCAATTTAAGGTTCAAGTAAAAATAGTTGCATTTATGAAATATCCTAGTTGAGTGAGTTTTCAGTTCTCAATCTCTTGTAAAGCCTCTCAGTGTTTGGACTGGTTTTGCAAAAGGGTTCCATAAAGCCTCCCTTTTGGGTATGAATCGTCCTACATATACATTTGGTTATGTACATATATGGTACGTTCTATCTTTGTGAACGGATGACTTAAGCAGGCAGGTATGTGGCTACAGACTTAGTTTCTGGGTGAGGCACTTTGTGACTATTCTCGAGTTGGAAATATTGCTCTCACCCAGAATTAATGATCTTGAAGACAAAGATGGGTAATCCTGAAATTTCAAAAAGCCTTTTAGAACTTTGCTGACGTTTGCTGAAGTTTAGGAACACAGAGAACCCCAAATGAGGACAAATCTGTTGACATCACAGGAAAGCTCTTGATCTTTGATTTTTTTTTTTTTTTTTTTTGCACACACTTTGCATATGTGATGTGGTTTCCACTATGGAGTTTCCTGCGGTTTCCCCTTTGATGGTGGTCTACTAGGTTCATTAGAAAGGATCCTGGAAATCATGCTGTGTGCTTACGATTTCATACAGTATCAGAAAAATGATGCATCTGACAATGCCCATGTGCATGAATCTTGTTCCATGGGCTGAGAGTTCAATTTGACCACCAAAGCTCAGTACCTGGTAGGCTCAGACAGCTGAGTCTAGTTGCAGTGCATTCTTGGAGCTAGAGCACATGCTTTGTGCACGTCAGCACCTCTTGATACAGCAATTGAAGTCCATAATTTCCCACACAATAAAAAGTGTTCAGCTCTTTTTGTGTTGTGTTTAGTGCTATTCTGAAAGCTTTGCACTTGTACCTTCTCAAATACCTATCAGAGTTCTTTTTTTTTTTTTTTTTTTACTGTTTGACTTAACAGAATGTTTTTAGAGTTGTCTGGAAGACTGTAAGAGTTAGGGTCGGGTTTTGTTCCTGTTTCATCAGATTAATTTCACCTCCTTTCTTTGGTGTTCGTTGGCTTCTCCCTTTACAGGGGAATTTCTGGAATTCTTAATTTTTTTCTTGCCTCATGAGTTACCCCACCGTATCTGCAATTACACCATGCACTCTTAGCTTTGCTTTCTTTCCTTTGTGCAATATTGGGCTTTATAGGGAAGAATTAAAAATGCTTAAACACAATGTGCACACTGTAAAGTTGCACAGGATTTTTTTCCCTGGACGTTCTGGGATGGTCATTGTTAGACTTTTCAGGTAGCATAGTTCTGTACCATCTGAAAATGCTGTTTCAGTTGTGTTTTTTTTCTTTTTTTTTTGACAATGAAAAAATGTAAATAATAGCTCTTTCTGTAACTAAAATGCTTCTGTTCTGTCAAAAAATAGAAAGAATAAATGATCTTATTTTTAATGACAATTTTTTTTGGTAATTAGTGGCTAAACTAGTGATGCGTATAACTAATAAACATAAGGGTCAGTTTTATTACTACCTCTGGTCACTCTTGTTGATCTAAAGTGCTGTTTATTAGTGAAAGTAATAGGAGGGGTCAAATGGCATTCATAATTAGATCCTGTTAAAGCTCTTAAAAATGTAACTCTCCACCTAAACAAGCAAGATCTATCATGAACCTTTATATTACATATGTGTTTCATTCAGAATAATAAACTATATAAAAACAAAAGCAGAAACAAACCTGTAATTTTGGTTTAAGTTGCAAACTCTGTTTCATTTTAAAGTCAGGCAGGTCTAAATTTTGCACATATTTGGATATAACTTCAAAGAACAGAAGATTGCTAGATTGATTATAGTAAGTAGGGTTCTCCTCCTGGGGAAGAGGTTTGAAAACAAATCCAGATCCCCATTATGGCCGTAAAAGGATAGAGAAGGGAAACCCAGAACATAGGCAGGATGGGGAGAGTAAGCATTTGTAGTCATGTGATGAACTTAATGTCTAAACATTGGAAGCATTCTTCTGGATTTTCCTGGTATTCTTTATGTTAATCACTCTATCATAGTGTCTTTTCGGCTTTCCAATTGTCTTTCTTCAATTTTGTTTTTTTAAACATTTATTTACTTACTTATACAAGCACTGGGTACAGTCAGAAGCGCGGGAGGTGAGAGAATACACCAGAGCCAGAGCGGGGAGCAGAGCAGGCAGAAGGACCGAAGTACACTGCTGAGGGGAGCAGCGGGCGGCAGGAGAGGTCTGCGCGCCATGTGGGACCCTCCTCCAGTGGCCGGGGAGCAGCCGGGGATCAAACCAGCGCTGCACAGGCTGCGGGCAGCTTCGCAACCCAGCGCTCAACCGCTGCGCCACCGGGGAGGCCCCTTTCCTCAATTTTGGATTTGAAAAAGATGGCCTTCATTGTTTCTTAGAGTAGCCTTATAGCTGAGATTAGCAGTGAATCTTCTTGTCACATCCTAAGGAACAAGGTGCCCCAAGAAGCCTGTCTTCTGAATTTCAGGTCTGATTGAGACAAGAAAATATTTCCACAGCAAGATCGTTATCTGATTTCCAAGAAAGAAGCTTTCTGAAGTCTACTTAGCTTTCTGATAATCCTAATTGTAGTGCCGATCTGGTTTATTTGGGATCAGGTCATCTTTTGCTAGCTTTGGAGAGCTTTGGAAATCTTTGGGTCTTTGGATTTTCACCCCTGAATCTGGAATTTTCTGACTTCCTGTTTAGAAAGAGTTTCCCTAATGTTTACAGCAAAGCTGTGTAAAAGTTAGACTTTGGACACAGAAATAAGAGATTATAATCCAAAGGTCAGGCCTTGCCACAATGAATATGAAGATATCAGTATATCCACATGCGGTGAGTGATAAGCCAACTAATTCCTGGTGCCTCTTAAACATTTTTAGATTATTTTCTCTCCACCTCAGATTTTTTTTTTTTTTTTAATTTATACAAGCACTGGGTACAGTCAGAAGCTCGGGAGGGTGAGAGAATTCACCAGAGCCAGAGCGGGGAGCAGAGCAGGCAGAAGGACAGAAGTACACTGCTGAGGGGAGCAGTGGGAGGCAGGAGAGGTCTGCGCGCCATGTGGGACCCTCGCCAGTGGCCGGGATCGAACCGGCGCTGCAGAGGCTGCGGGCAGCTTCGCAACCCAGCGCTCAACCGCTGCGCCACCAGGGAGGCCCTCCACCTCAGATTTCTTTTGGTAATGGAAAAGGCAGACACAGCTTGTCATTTTCAGAAACAGCCTTGTTCTAATACTGTTAATATTTAAGGTAACTTGATATTTTTTAACTCTAAACTCTTAAACCTTTTGGAAAATAGTTTCCAGTTATCCTCTGCAACGTTAGGGTCTTCATTCCAGGTGTGGATCAAGGAGCTGCTGGTTTAGATTGTCAGTTCTTGTTCACACTTTTCTTCCTGATTCCAGAACATTCCTTCTTTGCTTGGTAGACACACCTGACTGGAATTTTTCACTCTCCATCTCTAAAGCAGTTATTAAAAAGGCTACTCCATCTACTACATCACCAAAGCAGACATAGAAAAGGTTCTATGGTGAATATTAGGGGCCTAGAATATACTGTGTGAATAGAATGTGATACACACTAACTAACCCTGAAAATTTTCATTTTGATAGAAAAGTAAAAGATTATTTTAAAACCTTCTTTAATCTTTTTCTCTTCTTGGGTTTGACTATTGAGGTTTTGGTTTATCATTTGTCTTCTAGCTAAAAAGAAAGGTGATATCCATATTTTGTTTTAGATTTACTTTTCTAGTCCAGAATATATCTTATATATACACATGTGAATATACTAGGTATATATAAATGATTTTCATCTTATACTTGTGATATGTCAGTATACTAAAAGTGATTTTTAAAAATACAAATATTACTAGCAAGCTGCATTTACTTTTATAGTCACACCATTTTCTAATAATCTCATATAATTCTTTGTAATTCTTAAAAGGATAGAAGAGACTTCCTAAACAACTAGAAGATTCTGTGGCTAAATTAATTGACTGAGTCTTTAATGTACTCTGAACTTAATTCAGACTAAGTTTCTTGGATCATGTCTGAGTGTTACTATCAGAAACGGGACTGTGTAGAAAGTGACATGATAGATATGGCATTTATTAGAGTCTATATGAAATTTGGGGACAGGTTTAAATAAGCAAGCCCAAAGTTCATTGACTTATCCTAACTTGTCACTGTGAAATAGGGCAGTGGTTTTTCGTACTTCTTTTTGCCTAGCTAAACCTATTCTTTTCCTTCCTCTCCCAGTCATGATTGTCCTGCTATCAGAGTGATCTTGAGTTTTGGTGTCTTCCCCAACATGTAACTTCCTTTATTGTGCTTGCTAACACTCAGCTTTTAAGATCAACCATACAATCACAGTCACGGTCAGTACTTACTGGCCCCTTATCTAATGCCAGGCACAGTCTGGGCTTATAATACCAGATTAGTACTGTTATCACTTCATTTTATGAATGAAGGATTGGAGCTACAGAGGCCTACAGCTACCCTGCCCACTCCCTCAGTGTTGGAGGTGGATTTTCAGGGGCTGCCACACTTTACCCAGAAATCCTTGAGTTTTGCTCTTGGAACTAAGCGGATTTCAACTTAAGTTCCTGGCTTTTCTTTTTAAATTCAAGTCAGCCACAAGTGAGGCTTCATTTGACTTCCAGTAGAAAGAAATGCATCACTACCAAGCTTTTGTTTGAGTTAGAGGAGGTGGGGATGAGGCTCCATGAGATGGTTAAAGGTTTTAACTCAAAAGGCCAGGTTAATGGATGACAAAGGGGATTTTCATCTAAAAACATATCTTTTTTTCTTCTCAGGTTCTCCTTACTATGACAACGTCCGGCCCCTTTCTTACCCAGACTCAGACGCAGTGCTGATTTGTTTTGACATCAGTAGACCAGAGACTCTGGACAGTGTCCTAAAAAAGGTAAGTGCTGGGGATTGATGACACAGTTCAGTATTGGCTGATGTATAAAATAGGAACTTGCGGTTGGCTGGGAGCTAAAGTGATTGTATGTGACTCTTGTCAAACATGTATTCCTTCCTTCCCCCTCTAGACTAAGCCTTAGTTTGCAGGCTTACATTTAGCCCCAATCAGATATTGAAGTGAACACAATAATAGTTGTTTTAATAAAGAAGCTGTGTTTCAGTAATGATGTTACGTATTAGAAACAGAGACCAAACTTATATAGGGGCATAGGAGTATGGTTCAGACATCTTACAAAGTAAAATATGGTAGATATCAGTTACTAATAAAAACAGTAATTGTGGAACATGTTATAAGTAACACATAACCTGATTCTGGAGGCAAAGGTGAATGAGATTCTGTAGGTAAAGCCACTTGAGGAAGCTCTGAATGAAACTGGCAAGAGGACAAGAACCTGCTAGAGGGTGGGTCACAGGTCCTGGGAAGGTCAGAGGGAAGGAGAAGACTCCACCTACCGAGGATGAAGCCTCAGATGGTTACAGAGGCAAATGCTTGTTTGTGGATAAGCATGTGTTAACCACAATCTGTTTTCTCAATCCTGGCCTGAGTACTGTGGGGTATCAAACTCTGAAAGCCTGGACAAAACCTTCATCGAGCTCCCTTCAGGGGTAGACCAAGGATGTGGTTGAGAGCAAGGCAGTGTCTTTGCATTTTGTATTTTTATGTTTATTTTCCTATCATATTTAGCTGCTTGTTTTCTGTGTCATTATTAAATTAGGATTTGAAGGTGAGACACCTTCACTAAACATAACAAAAACAGTTTAATGAACAAGAAGTTCTTAAAAGATCAAAGGCTCTTTTTCATTCTTTAACTCCTTTCAATTTTGAGTAATGTATATCTAACACAAATAATGCTAATGTTTGTCAGATACAGGCAGGAATGCACCTTTCCTGTCTTCAGTTCTTGTAAACATTTGCTAGACATGCAGAGGTAAGACAAAGTCATCACACAGCTGAAGAACAACACAGCAACATGTCTAGTGCTTATTTATAGATGAAAGAGATTGCTTATTTACTCAAGTTTTTACTTGATGTGCTCCGGGTTATGCATAATTTATGATGAAAAGCCTTGTTCCTGTTTTATTTTGTTTTTGTCTTCTAAAACCAAATGAATAGTGACTTAGGGCCTTAGAGATATTAATGGGTGTGTTTTACATTCACGTGAGGTTTAAGGCTTGTGATAACCTCTGCTATGGTTCCTCTTGATTAATTGAATCCTTTAAGTCTTTGAATATCAAAGAATTTAGAATAAGTTAAAGCAAGACAGATCTTATTCTTTTTTTCACAAATCATCTACCAGTTCTTATTCCAGAGCCTGCTAGCACATGGTCGTTTCTTCTAAGTAATTCTGGAAGGAAGGGAGAAAGAAGGAAGAAGGGGGGAAGGGGGAAAGAAAGGGAGGGAAGGAAAGAAGGAGGTAGAGAAGATGATAAATTAGGTTTTTATGAAAAGTACATATGTCTTTTCAATCCACTGGCATATGATGTGGACTACATAGAGTTCATTGCCTAAAGCACCCCTTGGAGTTGTCTCTTGTAGGGCCTTTTGAGTTACTCCTGCAGGATGTACCTCTTATCTAGTATTATATATATGCCTTCATCATTCCCACTCTTCTGTGGATTCCTTCTGGAATGTGCAGTTATGTCTTAATCACCTCTTTACCACCATAATGGTTAGTAGAGCATTTATTCGTGGACTGGTGAGTGAGGCAAGTGAGGTATCACTTCCCACTCTCAGCCCCTCTGATCCCTCCTCTCCAATAGCCAGAGTGCTTCTGTGAACACTTTGATTTCCCAATTCCCGCACTGATCTCAGGCTTGAGGAAATGCAGGCGCAAAAAGCTGCCCAGTTACCCTTTAAGAGTAGTATTGGAATTCCCTGTCAGGGATTTCTGGAGGTTCCAATAGTTCTTGTTATGTCACAAAATAGTTAGCCAAATTGGACAAATGGAAGTATTTAACAACTTCTATAACTTAAAACGAATTCAAAGAATATGTGAGCCACAGGACCAGATGCCTTCCTGAGAGCCCGGGAGATGGGCCTTCACGAACGTCATGGTCTCTGTAGATTCAAACACCAGTGAATAGAAGCTCCTTAAAGGCAGGATATTCTATTTACTAATTGTCTCCAGTCTCTGAAATCTCAGTAGAGATTTCAACACGTGGTAGCTACTCATCTTTCTTGATTGGATCTATGAGTGCATACCTGTGCTTGTCTTGGCTCTGCGTTATTCCCGGCCGTCTATGCTGGGAAGTACCAACTCAACATACCCAAGGATGTAGTCACTCGTCAGGATATATAATTATTCTTAAGGCACTTTTATCTTTCAGAGATGGCCCAATAATTAAGAAATTGTTGACAACACTCAATAAGAGTTTTGCAGTAGGAACAGATAATGAGTCACAGAGAGGGAAAATGTTTAATAACATAATGAGCATTCCCTAATGAATCCACTTTAAAAAGTAGTAGAATTTAATATCTATATAGAAGTTTAATGCCAGTTTGCTTTTTTATCGGAACTGACATTTGTTTTAAGTCCTTTTTGAGACCCATTTCCAATGCTGCCAGTGGAGAAATTGTTTTCCATTATATGGATGACAGAATTTTGTTAATTTTTCATCTTCTTTTTCCCCATAGTGGAAAGGTGAGATCCAGGAGTTTTGCCCCAACACCAAAATGCTCTTGGTTGGCTGCAAATCTGATCTCCGGACAGATGTTAGTACATTAGTAGAGCTCTCGAATCACAGGCAGACACCAGTGTCATATGACCAGGTAGGTATGATGTCAATATGCAAATGTGGATTTTAAAAAGAATGACAGAAATGAAACATCACTCATAATAATAAAGAGGAGAAGCTGTTTTTCTAAAAGTTTAACCAGTGCCAACTGCAGGTGTAAGTAAGACCCTTTACTTAGATTTAGCATGGGCATCAAATGTCCAGAGTGTGGCCGTCTGTACACACAGTAAAGGAGTCAGCCCTTAGGGATCCTGTGCTTTCATGGCCTGAGCTTCTTCATGGCCACCCATAGCTCAGATTAATGTTAAGATTGCAGTGTGAACAGCAAAGTGATGTGGGCAAAGTTTGAAATCATGATGTTATTTTGATGCAGGAGCCTCACAAGTATCTTTCCAACATTTTTTAATGATTTATTATATAAGGATTAACATGCGTGCATGCATAAAACAAGACAAATTTGAAAAAAATTTAATGTAAAATGCTTTGTCATTCAGTTGGGTAGTCACCTGATATTTGATTACTGAGAGCAAGGACAGTGGATCATATGCTACCATTATGTGTCTCTGCAACCCCCGCTGGGTTTAAAGTAAAAGAGATTTAAGAGAGAATGTGGTCAAAATCAGTAATACTGTTTAAGAGACTTAATCTTATTTTACACTCAGTGGCAATAAAATACTAACATAGACTGTTGCCAGTAAAATAGACTACTTCATAAAACCATCTTTTAGAAGTTCATCATTTCTGCTGGCATTTTCCCCAAGTACTTAGAAAAGAGGAGAGTTGGCTTCAAAAGTTCATTCTCTTGAAACCTACACCAGATACTAAAGAAAGTTCATTATGAAATAGAATTCTATTTATTAATCATCATTTTAAGTACTGCAGTCCTCTTTGTCTTGTATTAATAAAATTTAATAAAATTTTATTATTAATAAAATTTTATAATTAATTAATTTTATAATTAATAAAATTTTAGTTACTTAAGTAAGTTCTTTTTGATGCACAGTGTTTATAATAGTGTATACTGGTTGTATGGCCCATGTTTTGAAAGTACTTATTTTGTGCTGCTGAAGTTATAAATATCATTGTATATAACAGTATTGTTCCTTCCCTCAATTTATTTTTACCCTAAGACATAATCACATGCATTTCAAAACTGATTCTAAATTCCATCCCCAACTCCTGTTTTTTGTACAGTCTATAGACTAGTCTTGAGTACTCTTTAAAGTTAAGAAAGAGGAATTGAGTCCTATGAGGGGGAATGGGTTCTTCGAGCCCATCTCCCTTGCCAGAACCATGTTGAAAATGCAACATTTACAGTTATGATCTTCAACTGACTTTTTTCCAATAGTAAGAATCTCTAGGTAATTCTATACTTTATTGTGACCTGGAAGACCTAAGTATCTAGTGACTCTTGGTTACAGTTGATAGTGAAGATGAAGCACCTCCTTAGATCTTCTCTTACATCTTTGAATCACCTCATACTAATTGTTTGATGATCAGGCCTCTCATTTACTGATGAGCCAATAAAAACTGGATCAGCCTTTATTAGCACCTGTGAGCAGTCAAGCAGTATTTACTGAGTGATAGTAATCAGACACTGGGTGTTGACTATAAGAATTTATGAAATAATAACACAGTTCAAATTCAAAACCGGACTTTTTTGCTATAATTCTTGGAAAATTCGGTTGCAAATATATCAGAAATGCTTTGCAATGCATTATTATTATGTAGTATTAGAAGATACTTTATAATTTTCCCCAAAGACTTATTGCTGATTACGATTCCTTCTTTTGCTTCTCAGGGGGCAAATATGGCAAAACAGATTGGAGCTGCTACTTACATTGAATGCTCAGCTTTACAGTCAGAAAATAGCGTCAGAGACATTTTTCACGTTGCTACCTTGGCATGTGTAAACAAGACAAATAAAAACGTTAAGCGGAACAAATCACAGAGGGCCACAAAGCGGATTTCACACATGCCCAGCAGACCAGAACTCTCCGCAGTTGCTACGGACTTAAGAAAGGACAAAGCAAAGAGTTGCACTGTGATGTGAGTCTCTGGTTATCTTTCATGAGGACAAGGAAATCTAATGTAAAAAAACACCAACACCGAAGCAAAAAGGTGAAGTCTGAACGAAGTATGCAGCCAAAGTCACGTATGCTGGAGGTTTAGGAGGCATCTGAAGAGATGCTCATCTTTTTGGAATCCTGTCCTTAAGTTCGACATGTTAGAACAAGTGGTGAGAAGTGAATACATTGAAGAGTTTTGAAGTGTGACTTGAAAAATATGCCAAAAAAGAGAGATTCAAATGGGCTGGAGGTAAATAAGGAGGAATGCAAGTACCTCCCAGAAGAAAAAAAATGCCCTGAATGGTGCTTGTGTTTTTGTTTTCATTTCAATCTATTCCTGGATCTCTACTTTGATTTAATTTTAAGTGTTTTAATCTCCTTTGCAAAAAGTATATATTGATATACCGTCCTCATTGGGGAATTGGCACTGTGACCTTAGCATTTAGTTTTTTAGAGGATGTGATCTAATTTCCTCCTAGCTCATCATTAAAATGGAAATTGTATCAGGACCCGTGGGATATCCAGAGGAAAAGTTTGTGAGGCTTTGAAATCTTGCCTTCCTGAAGATAGCTGAGTGAGATGGTTCTAGAAAAAGGCTTTTGCAGTGTTGCAAGATACGCAGACCAGCACTACAAAGATTGAATAGCTCAAATAGGAAAAAAGTGTCGATTTTTATACAGTCTGATGGTTCTGTTCATCATTGTGATTGTCATTTAAAAGTGGTAAATTGCTCAATGTAATACTTTTGTGCGCTATTTAGAAAAAGAGAGTGTGTGATTTTTTTGCCATCGTTGATAAAAATGCAAAGTCAAATAAACGGTGTCATGGTTTGACGTCATAGAGTGATCTAAGGGAAAAAATAATGTAGGTACTGTTTTCAACTGAAGAGATAATGAATGAAGGAATAGTAACAGAAAGCACAGTGTGTGAGTAAAGCTGTCTGGAATTAAGCTACCAAAATACAAAGCAAAAGGACTATTATTTTGGGATGAAACTCCTCCAAAGTTGGCAGCATCTCATGTTCTGTTGGTTTATTTCACTTTCTTTTTAAAGGAACATTGATAAGAGAAGGACCCTCTTACCCAAGCTTTAGAAAATCCTTAGAGGAAAATTAGGTAATGTCAGTCCTGACACTATACTAGGGCATTTCTAGAGAGTGATTGTTAAACCTCACTTAACCAGATTCAGTCAATGCCTGTGTCTAATACTTGATAGCTGTTGTTACATAAAATAATCAGCGTTTAAAATAGTTTACAGATATTTTTTGACCAGATTCTTTCAGAGCTTCTTTCAGAGAAGAAACCAGATCCGACCTGTTCATTGTTGGCGCTTGTTGAAAACGAGCTTTCTTTCCAATGATAAAGCTTCATTTTTGAAGTGTTGAAGCTGTGCTCCCATTAAATTGTGGCAGGAGAGGAGGTTAGGATAATTACAACACTCAATTCTATGTCTTACAAGCACTTTGTTTTGTCTCTGCAAGAAAATACCATTCCAGTCATTTCCCAAAAAATACAGAGGTTTTACCAACATAATATGCTTTGATTGATACAGCATTATGCTTTGGGCAGTATTACAAAATAGCTGGCAAGTGCTTTCTGTATTTAAATATTGTAAAAAGAAAATAAGTTATAACTGTTATAAAGCAGAACGTTTGTTGCATTTTTTTAAATGTTGAAGTCACTTTGTATGTTTGTTTGGTCATTGTTTCCGCAGTATTTATTAAAACATACTTTTTTTTCCTTCAAATAAAAATGTAACCATGTCTTTGTCTAAATGCGATCTCTCTTTTATTATCTACTTCCTGATTTAGCTATTTAGTTTTATTCTTTAACAGAGATGATTATAGAATCTGGTCTAACATTTCCTGAAAAGAAGACTTTGGAATTCTTTGATTCTTTTTTTTTTTAAGATTTATTTATTTATTTTTATACAAGAACCGGGGTACAGGCCAGATGTGCGGGAGGGTGAGAGGATTCACTAGAGACAGAGCAGGGAGCAGAACAGGCAGACCAACCAAAATGCACTGTTGAGGGGAGCAGCGGGTGAGATAGTAGAGGTCTGCCCCCACCATGTGGGTATCTCAGCAGCCAGCGGGGATCGAACTGGCACTGCAGAGGCTGCGGACAGTTTCACAGCTCTGCACTCAACCGCCTGTGCCACCAGGGAGGCCCTGACAATAGTATTAGTTTCTTGGTGGAAAAATAAACCCATGCATATTTAAAGTTTTCATGATAATTTCATATCACAAGAAGAAAATGGGGCATAGTTAGACTGATTTGTTCATGGACAAAGTTAGCTACTGCCTAGGATCAGCTTAGAGAAAGTATGGAAATGTCTCATACTCTTCAGTAACAAAACAGTACCATGCAGCGTTGGGTCACAGGTTTAATTCTGATGTGGATTTAGTTAGCGTCCCTACCTAAGTGCCTAACCCAGCCATCCACCTTGCCTGCATGTTCTTGGTCACAGAGGCCACTTGTGTAGATGAGCTAGGCTCCAGCTATTGAAACAATTGGGGGGAGGGAGAAAAAAAAAATGAAAATGGCCTTGTTTATGGTAGTAACATTGCACAATAACACAAAACAGAGAAAAAACTTCCCCAGTGATCTCAAAGATGTAAAGTAAGCATGGAATAGTTTAGAACCAAGAGAGGCCTCGCTCCCCATAAACCTGGTTCGTTATCCTTCTTTAGCTAAAACTTTTCTACATAAGTTTTACATAAATATCCAAAGATATTCCATGTGGGACTTTAAATCTCAGCTCTTCTTTCTACACAGCTTAGTTGCTTCATATTAAAATTGCATCCTTGTGTTTGTTTGGTTTTTTCCCAACGACTTTAGAAATCTTTGAGGTATAGTTACTTGCTTGGAAATATTTCTCAGAAACATAAACCAGGAAAAGCCAGAACAGCTAGTATGAGTGAACAAATTGAAGAGCAATGACCTTCTGGGATAGCCTTATTAAAAATTTAAAAGGCACAGAAAATTACCAAAAATATTTGTAACTCATTCTTGATGGCAAATAGTAAAAGATATGAAAGTAGTTTCCTAATCTCTGGTATTGAGTAATTTCTAAGCATCGTAATCTAAATCAGGTTTATTCAAAACTGGTTTCTCAACAATGACAGGCAGAGAAAAAAAAAAAAAAAACAGCAATAATCAGCTGAGGTTCTGCTGACTTTGGCAGTATTTTATAGGTTGTACAGTCATGTTCTCCTCCGGTGAATTGTTTTTTTACCAGCGGCTTTAATTTGTTAAACCAAAAAGAAAAAGTTAGTGTTTTAGCCCTGGGCATGCATTCCTTTTCTCCTCTGACTTTTTGCTTCAGCAAACATTCATTCTAAGCATTTTGTGAACATTCCTTTCTATTGATTAATGATCATGATTAATGCTTCTTTAAATACTACAAAGTGATTTTCAAATTCTGAGTAAGACATTGTGCCTCACTTCTATTAGTCTTTTTTGGAAATAGTTGCTTGGAAGATTCTCGCCTTATAGGTTATGTACCTTAAGTGCAAATTTAGAAATAACCCAGGGAATTATATTTTATTAGATAATAGTGGATTTAAAAAGATCACCTCATATCCTAAGACTTCTGAAACTCATAAAGTCGCGTATCCTCTTTATGATGACTTATTTTGTCATTGGCATTCCGTTCTAAATCTCCCCTTTTCTATTTCTGTCATTCTTCCACTGACCACATGTTTATTGAGTATCTTCTATGTGTCTGGCACTTGTCTATACTTGCTATATAGTCAGTTTATTTCTCATAGTTCTGGAGGTTGGAAATCTGAGATCAAGGTGTCTGCCAATTAGGCTCCTGGTAAGATCTCTCTTTCTGGATTATAGTCAGCCACCTTCTTGCTGTGTGTTCACATGACTTTCCTTCAATATGTGTGTGTGTGTTTGTGTATGGAGAGAGAGAGAGAGAAAGAGAGACAGACAGAGATCTTCTACTTACAAGGTCACCAATCCCATTGGTTTAGAATCTTACATTTATGATCTCATTTAACTTAATTATTTACTACAAGCATTATCTTCCAATATAGTAATACTATGGGTTAGGGCTTCAACAGATGAATTATGAGACATAATTCAGTCCATAGCAGGACCCATGCCATGGGCAGTTGACATACATGGTCTTCCATTATCCAAGATTACCTGAACTGTATTGTAACCAAGAGGTTGCACAGTGATAGTCCTAGAATGTTACAATGTAAAGATGTCAGCATTAAAATTAAGAAACTGCAGGAAAAAAAAAAAAAAGATTGACGCTGACCTGACCACTGACTGCTGGGCAACTAGTCAGGTGCATTTATATTTTTCTGGATAAGATGGATATAAATAATAGTATATGATAATGAAAAGCAATTCAATTCCATTCTTCCATTCTCTTGACTGCAGTTTCCTTATTCTTAGGAAGCCAGTTAGAGTGGGAAACTATTCACTTTTAGTTTCCCATGGAAGCACTCTCAATAAGTTACTACGCATATTTAAGAGTAGCCAAGAGTTGATTTCCTTCACAGAGGGCTCACAAAGACGCAGGTAATGGGGATGGATGGAGAAAACTTGATGCAATTCAAAGCAAACAAGCAGTGGTTTCCATTGGACTGACCAACTTCAGGGCAATTTAACTGACATTGAACAGAGTTGAGGGATGCACTACTTGCAAGTGCCATTGGAACTGTGAAAAGAGTTTCTTTTGTGTTAAGTGCCTCTGCATACTTCTGAAAATTAAATCTTCACCACTCCCCTTGCTTATCTATTCCCATCCTGCTCAGGCCCTGTCCTTCATCCACTTACTGTCCAACTGGGCCAAGCAGTCACTTCTAATCATTTATTTGTTCATCTTTCTTCAATCATATCCAAAAACAAGACCAAAAGCAACCAGTAAACAATTTTTTTTAAATCATCATCAAAAATATAGATATTCTTGCTTATTTTATGCCCAACTTTCACCCAGTTTTGAGTGTCAACCTCTACATCCCTTTACAACCTCCAGGGTGTCTTCAAATGCCATTGACTTTTAGCAACACAAGGAATATATATATATTATATAATTATATATAATATATATATAATTTGGTATGGCTATCTTGCTATACTAAGTCAATTAATTAATTGAGTTAATTAATTAACATCTTGAGCTACTGAACATAATGTTCTCTTTGGGTTGCTTGAATTTTCTCTAAAACTTGGATTAAGCAGAGTTCTTAGGGTTGTCTCTGACCCCAAGAAACTTATTGGTTAAAGAAGTACCCCAAGGGGAGAACAAAATTACATAGGAAAAAGGTATGTAACCATGACTGCCTTGAATGAGCTTGCCCCACCTCTGCTCCACCCATGCTTTGTTCTCCTTTGCCACTGCACTCATCTCTACCCCATGAAAATATCAGCATCTGAGAATGTTACAGAGCAGTCTCATTTCAGTTAGCTTATTACACAGCTAATATACTATCAAAAGAAATATAATATGTCGTCATTATTATTATTTGAAAATCCCCCCAATGACTCAGTCTTCCACGCAGACAGTACAGAAGTAGGAGATGCGGACAATGGCTGAGGAGAGGATATTCTGTTCTTTATCTTCCCCAGATACAAATGGTGACTTGCTTAAAATTTTGTTTTCCTTCACTTTCAGACACAGAATTCTTTACTCTTTTCTTAAATTAGCTATAAAAATTCCCTTTCTGCTTATTTCCTTCTCTTCAACTATCTGAGAACATGTCCTATCTAACAAAACTGGCATAATAAATAAATGCAAGCAAACCCAGGTATTGTGGTATGTTGAATAACGACTCTTCAAGCTTATCTGTTTTCTAATATTCAGGAACTGTAAGTGTTACCTTATATGGTGAAAAGGGCTTTGCATATGTGATCAAGTTAAAATCTTGAGATGGGACAGTATTCTGAATTATCCAGATGGGCTGCATGCAAGTTCACAAATTCTTATAAGAGGGTCACAGGCAGATTCCAAGTCAGACTGTGGTAATGTGATGACAGAGGTTTCATAAAAGGACAGAGAAAAATAATTTAGAAGATGTTGTGCTGCTGGCTTTGAAGGCAGAGGAAGGAGGTCATTAGCCAAAATATGTAGTTGTTCCCTGAAAGCCGGAAAGGAAACAGATTCTCCCCTGAAGTCTCCAGAAGGAATGCAACACCAAAGACCCATGCGACCTGAAAAGTTTTTGTTGTGGCAAGTCTGTGGCAATTTGTTACAGGAGCAATAGGAAATTAATATAACTATATCAAATAAAAATCTCTTCCTTCACCCATTAAATTTGGCTCCTTTAGATGACGAGGTGATGGTCTTTGCTGATGATGTTATACCACTGATCCGAGCCACTTGTAAGAATGTCAAGAATCTGCAGTCTCTCTTGACACAGCATCCCCCAAAGTTTCTGGGACCATCTCACCCTGCTGGCCTCCAGGTGGATAGTTTGAACAAACAGTCCCTCTATTATCCATGAGTTCCTTCTGGGTTCATATTTATAATCCTGATGCAGGAACAGAGTATCTTAGGGAAAATAGTGATTTCTCATGAAATAAATTTACAAAAATTTCACTATTTACTGAGGGCATTTAAAAACCTAGCTCTGGATTCAAATAATGTAAGTACAGTTTAGCCTGGGCATACATACATATTTCAAGTATCATGAGGCAGTAAATGATAGAGGCAAAATGAGGCTTTCAGAAAATAAATATTATGGTTGAAACAGTTTTTGTAGTTTTCTTAGAAGTATAGACATTTTATAGGGGAAGCAATATCAAAAGT